TTGTTGAAGGAGAGTATGAAATTTGGAAGCAGCAATGGCTGTCACGTGGAACAAGTACAGTAGCAAATACCGCTATCGGCGCTTTAGGCGACTGCCAAGGTGATGTATTTCCTAATTTGCATACATTACTCAACATTCTCACTGTGCTACCGGTGACAACAGCAGAACCCGAACGACTATTTTCTAAACTGAATAGTACCCTGACAGCAATTCGGTCAACAATGTCTGAGGAGAGATTAGAATCCCTACTTCTTCTGCAAGTTCACCGTGACAGAACACCAACGAGCGATAAACTCATTGACTCATTCGCAGCATTAAAATCAAGACGAATCCCATTAAAGCTGTAAGTAGTTAAAAGATGGACAAAATGACGTTGCTATTATATCGCAATACTCAACATTGAAACACACCACTTCTCGCGCAAAATGAGCTCGCATGTAGCTTTTCGTTTCAAAGGCAAAATCTCCGATAACGTTTTTGCTACGATATAGCTCCTTCCTTTTCAAATTCTTTTCTGAATATATTGACATCAGTTGGGATCACTGATTTCCACAAAATTACTCAATCAAAGCTCTCATGTTTCTATGCTCGCAGTTAGTGTTCTCATGTAATGTAATAAGTAATTTTGGTTTGTTAGTTATATAAACAACTAGTTTCTTGTTATGCAAAAACTTTTACCTTATCAATTTACATGTTTAGTTAATGTATTTACTGTCTTTTCATTCAAAGTTTCTCGTTGTCGAATCGTTTGGGGGGGGCCATGGCCCCCCCGGCCCCCCCTGTAGATCCGCCAATGCCTTCAGCAACAGTCTGCATTTTTGGAGAGGGTTTAAATGCATTTATGATAAACTTGGAATGGATGAAAATTTTGAAATATCTAGGACAGATTTAATTAATACCGAAAAAAATATCGTGGATGAAATATTAATTGAAATCAATAAAGAAGGAAGTCAATGGGTTACTGTCAAGATATATATTCCTTCAGCAACAGTCTGCATTTTTGGAGAGGGTTTGAATGCATTTCAAGTTCATTACAGCTTCTTGGGTAAACTTGGACAAGGAGTGCCACAGGGTTCAATACTTGGACCTCTACTTTTCAATATTTTCCTAAATGATATTTTTTACAGCCTTACTGAAGAGTCTTTGTGTAATTTTGCTGATGACAACAAGATATCTGTCACTGCAACAAATACTGATGAACTATTACAACTTGTAAAAATTAACACCAAAAATGTCTTGATTGGTTTAAATCTAATGAAATGATTGCAAATCCCTCTAAATCACAATCAGCAGCAAAGATAAATGCATAAATGAGTTTGAAATTGACCAAAAACTTGCAATTAAAATAGAGAACAACGTTACTTTGCTTGGTGTTCAGATTGATGAAAATTTAAAGTTTGACGCTCATATGGATAAGATCTGTAAAAGAGCAGCTAAACAGTTAAATTTTTAAAAAGACTGGCAAGACAAGATTTATGGGCGACAGAGAGAAAAAGATATTTATGAATTCACTTATACTATTTCACTTCAATTATTGTCCATTGATATGGATGCTATGTGGAAAAGGAAGTCAGGATAAGCTAGAGAAAATTAACGAGAGGGCATTAAGACTAGCCTATTCGGACTATTCATCTTCGTACAAAGATTTACTTGCTAACTCAAAAGAAACTACCATACATTTCCAATCATTTAGAATTTTAGCGCTCGAAGTTTATAAAACACTTAACAACCTTAATCCTGTTTTCATAAAATACTATTTTGTACCCAAAATAACAGGTCATAAGCTTCGACTCAAAAACCCCCTTGACATTCCAAAAGCCAGAACTACCAATAATGGTATCAGATCATTAAGTTTTCAAGGGCCTAAAATCTGGAATTCACTACCGGAATCAATAAAGACAGCACAAAATTCAAGACAATTTAAGAATTTGATCAAAACTTGGTTCCGTGAAAACAAGTGCGCATGCTCAGTTCGCAGTAAATGAACTGTCTTATGCAATCCTTGAAATTGCTTTATGTTAGTCTTAATTAGTGTATATTCACTATTGTAGAAACTAACATTAAATTATCCACAATACAATACAAAATACAATACAAAGCCTTTTTCCCCAATCAAAATTTGAAGAATTTAAGTGTTACTAAATGAAAAAGATCAAAACTTTCTTGTTGGTTCTTAAAAATCACACACCTTTGATTTCGAGAAAAGTTGATTTTTTTCATTTGGGATTTCCGGGGATTTTTAGGGGTTGGGGGATTGAGGGTCGACTCTGTCATAGTGAGTTCTGTTCGCAAGAAAAATTTTGATAGTTGTACAAAAAGTGATACTACCAAAAAACCTGGTAAAGATACGCTGAAAATGAAAGGATGTAGACCCACGCTGAAAAATGCCATCTTTAGCTATTTTTTCACAAGCTGGATTTGAATCCAGGTTGTTCAGGTAAAAAAGTAAAAAAAAAAGAGTCGCGGAAAAAAAACCTGTCAAACATTCCCGCTCTGATAAATTCATAAGTTTTCTTGATTAATAAAAAATACTGCTGCTAAACTCAGTGATTACATGAGCGGGATCAGAAAGTGCCAACTGTGTAGTTACAAAAGAGAAACTTGAAGTTGTGCACTACCAACTTGGTTTCGTCGTTTTTATAGGTTGTCACAAAAGCTCTCTTGATTTGGAACCCTCCCAAAATCAAGGCAAAATTTTAAATCTCTTTTCGAGTTTTTTGGAATTTCGTGACTTGTAAAACCTATATGCGTCACACATCCTTGAAATTCCTCACAAACCTCGCACAGATTGTCGAGTGAAAAGTCAAGAAAAGCGCAACTGTAAGCGTTGTAACCTAACAAAGGAAAATAACTCCGAGAATTTAAACTTTGAGCCGAATATAAACAGGGCATTTTGCACAATCTAGCAAACTACCTAACAAATATTTTTAAAGCTTAATCATAAACAGGGACGCCGGAGACAATAAAGGGCAAGGGGGACAGAAATTTAGAAAGGGCATCTTCAGTGGCTAGATCAGCGCATATGTGCGCCGTAAAGTTACCCTTTAAAGGAGAATTCAGGGGTATGCTTGCTATCCCAGGTAGAACAAGCAGCAATTAAACAGCCAATGTTTGAAAAGTACTTTCAGTTTTCAACAGAAACAAAAAATAAGAAAATATTTGTGTGCTTATTGTCCATATTTTCCGTTGGGAATTGTGGTTAACGTTAAATCTTTAAATAAAAAATAACTGTATTTAAAATTGTTATTCTCTTAAAAAGGGCACATTTGCCCCCTCTGCCCCTCCTGGTGAAAGGCAAGAAGGCGCTGCCTCCCTCATGCCCCCGCCCCGTCGTCCCTGAGCATAAAAGTAAAGAACACTGATTATTTCAAGCCTTGGGAACATTCTGGCAAATGGCCGGAAGTCACGTTTCCAGATCTACCTTCGAGTTTTTCAAAAGCCTTAGTCCTTTGTTTTAAAACAATACCGTCTTAAACCAATCAGTGTTTCGGGGTTATAGCACATGCGCATTAATAACAGTATTCGCACAGCTGTTCTGTCTGGGACCACACAACTCTTGAACTTCCCCTAGGGCTTCAAGTGATAATACGCATGTGCAGTAACCCTGAAACGGGGGCTAGTGTATGTCTGGAAAACGAGCATGATTCATCTCCCCAATAATTTCTACTTCGTTTCTTCGTGTATTAGTTAATAACCAAATGGCTTGCGACTTTTGCATGAACAAGGTATTGCTAGTGGGCAGAGGAAGGTCATTGTTTCTACTCCGCAACCCCCTCAAAATGGTTGGGGTTTTATTTATGGCCTTCTTTGCAACTGGCACACCGACAGCCCAAAATAAATAGACCAAATGATGAGAAAACGCCATCTTCATTCTTCTGATTGATAATGGTCAAACATTCTGCGGACCATTTTACCCTTGTTTGCTAACGATTTTTGTTTGGTAACCAGAAAGAAGTAACATTTTCACCAAGCCATAAAACAACGTTTAAAGCTCATTTAGCCTCCAAATTCGAAATAAGGATGTTTTTAGAAACGAAAACAGGGCGTGGACCAAATTGAACTTTTCTTGACTTGGCCCTAAAAAGGTATGAATGCTGTGTTACAGATTAAAACCAAAAATTAGCTTCGTGAAAATTAAAAGTGAGTCAGCTTCAGAGCTCCTCTCTCCCCGATTTATTTTCTTCAAACAGTTATCCACTAATTTTAAAAACCTTTACAGTACCATTTTACGAGCTTCTCAAAGGGAAAAGCGTCGATAACATCATTAAAGACAATCTGTTTAGCAACACCTCTTTCAATACTCAACACATGAGAGTCATTAAATCTTCCTTGGCTCATTGTTAAAGGCATCTTTTCTTGTCATTTTGACGGACCCAATATGCGAGCATGAGTTCAAGATCGTCGAAGACGTTCTAAACAAATACTTTAATGTTTAATTTCAGGCCTTCGGGGGGCCCTTTCGGAGAAAGCTTTACCTCGAATGATGAATTATCCTTTTTAAAGAAAAATCACCTTAATTTTGAGCAAGGGGCCTCTTTCGGGGTCCGGCCACTTTCCGGGGTCCGGACCCTGGGGCGCAGAACTGGCTGAATAACGGCGCTACTGGCTATACAACACATTAACATGATACATTGAAGCCACACAATGATGCACTAAAATCACACGACGAAAAGCACTATGCATTTTTGTCCCACACCTCATTCCATAAATCGAAGAGAGTTTATTAAGATGGGCATGGTGATGCTTCTCGACATAAAGAAAGGCATTCCTATGGCTGACTTTAACGAGTTGAACATTGCTTATCCAATGATGATTTGCCAAACTGTGCCACTACTAAACTACCAAGGGGCACGTCCGCACTGGCGCATCCCCTTATAACGTCATTGTGTCATAACATATATGCATTTTCTTACAATCTATAAAAATCAGAATACTTTAATAGCTGAATATCATTACGTCGCGATTTCGTTTAACATTTTAATTCTAATAAAGCTACTCACATTTGTTGGGGCGCTTTGTCCATAAACCTGAAAATAGAGCATGAAAAGAGTTGTCAGGTTTCAGGAACGTAGGTAGTTCTCTTTATTGCGTATCTTCAACCGATTTTTTATATGATTTAATATAGAATTTAAAAATGCTTCTAGTTCTACGGTCTTGAGAAACTTAAAGTAATACAAAACAAACCTCATTGGAGACATGACCACAGACAAAAAATATTTTATGCTCGAAGTTCAAAACTAGGGGTGAAATTTCGTAGTCGATTTCAGACAGCTTCATTGGCCAACACTAAGAAAAGGTGCAATTTTTTTTAGAAATTCTCTTTTTTAGAAATAAAAATGTTTGTACACTTACCGTTGTTATGAATGTAGCCAAGGCTAGCGCATGCAGGCAGCCTCTAGATAGGGTAAACGTCATTTTCTTCGTCGAATAGCTCTCTTGTGCTGCGCTTGCTCTTCACAAATTCTCACCAAACGCCCAGCACGCATAACCTTTCTTTTTATAAACAGTTTGACAGCCTGTCATTTTGGCGAATCAAACTGAGATGTGTATTTTTAGATGATTTCCGAGAAAACATTTCATTTACAAGAACGGTAAGATGTACTCTGGTTTTATATATTGTGAGTCTGGTACCCAGGGTAGGTAACATGCAACAACAAGTTTCTTTTTTTGACAACCGGAACTCTATTTTGGTTACATTTAACAAACATTGAATTGAATTGATGCAATAATTAGTGAAAGGACCAGCCGCATGTCAGCCCCATTGCTTTCGGTTCGTACCCAATGCAAGTACTCAATGTACTAAACTCTACAACTTGCATGCATGAAAGAAACAGAGCTTATTCTAAGCTGGATTTGGGCTCTTTTTGGAGCTGGAAATCGAAATGTGGAGGTGGATTTGAAATTATATGAAGCTGGAAAATTCAAACAAGTCAATAAGGAAAGGCTTTCATTTCCAAATATTTTTCTAACCACATTTTATTCGAATGAAATAGATCGACTGTGCTGATGCTGAACACTGTCCCGATCAGATGATGTGGCTGATTCAGCTTTTTATCGTAGAAAATGACAAGACTTCTCACCTTAGTCTTATTTTTGCTATTGACTTTTACTGTAGGGCATAAAGGTTTCTGTTTGTAAATTTTGGACAAAGGAAATACATCCAGGATACGGTAGATCGTAAGAGAAATTCAACCCACACCCAGGAGCCTCCTAAACCACTTAGCGGTCATGCCAACAAGTTGATTTACTAAAATGAAAATAGCAACTGGATTGGTTTGTATTTGCTATGGCGAAAGGTCGCCTTTAAAGCGTGAAAATGCTAAAATAAATCATAATGATTTGTGAATTGTGAAGCTAGAAATTTTCTTTAGAAAAAGTTCTGGAAAGAAAACTATACACATTAAATTTATCTACGATGATGTTCAAGGTACCATTGCATTAAAACTTAGTTTAAAATAGCATAACTTCCGGTTTTATCGATTTTTCACGCGGTTATGCGGTTTAAAAAAAAAATAATGCACGGGCTTACTGTTTTTGTAAAAATTTCAGGCGGTTCTACGGTTGTTAGCCCCCCCCCCCCCAACACCACTTCAATTATCTATGAGAATAAAAATGTCTCTCATCCTGCTAAATCTTATCAATCAAGACCCCATATTAAACTTGCGCCCTTGGAAAATTGATTTTTAAATAAGATAGTCCCACCCCCCACCCCCCCCCCCCTCAAATCGAATGATTGCCCTTTAGAAAAAGTTTCAGTAAGGTTTCTTCTTACAATAATCTAATGTACATTTATACTGATTTAGGCGACCACTAAGTAATTTAAAAATTGCAGAAGACAGATAATTGACAGGAGAATTAATATGCACGTTCATTCTAGAGAGCCACATTTAAAGGAAAATCTGGAGCTTTTGCAAACGCTGTGAGCTGAGCTTTTGAATAAAGGTATTGGGAGTGGGCTCCGGATTTTGGAGGTAGTGCTTAATTTTTGCTTACTTATTTGAGAAGACTTTGTATTGTTTACTTGAAAGTATGCAACCAAGGCATTTTGAATTCCCCTGCCTTCCGGAAGAGCTGACGTCATTTGTTTACAAAAGTCTTTTAGTTCATAGAAATCGTTTTAAAACTTCGCAGGAAAGGGTTCAGTGACCTAACCCAAAATTGTTGATACACACTCTTGTCATGCTAAGTAAAAGAATTGTTTCGGAAGCAAATACTAAAATGTTTGTAAATTGACATAGCTAAGATTTCAGGTTGACAGAGGTGTGTGAGTAGAAGACCAGATAGCAGTGGTGGCGCTAGGTTTCCTCCGACAAAGGGGCTAGCACTTCCGACGGAGGGGCTAATTTTTTTAGAGAACGATAGGGCTAGGGGGCGACAAGGAATTGTAAGGGTACTGGAGACCGAAGGCGAGCGTTGCGAGCCGAAAATTCGGGGGGTCCGGGGGTACTCCCCCGGGAAAATTTTGGTGGCTACACCCATTAGATTGGCTAAAAATGCTATCAAAATGGTGTAATCGTGTTTTTTACTACGTTTTTTGACATATTACTAAGGGCACGTTTGCCCCCTCCCTTGCCCCTCCTAGCAAAGGGCAGGAGGGGCGCTTGCCCCCCCGCGCCCCCCTTCTCCGGCGTCCCTGGAAATTTTTTTTGAAAGCTGCCTCTAGATAAGCTTAAAACTACTCTAAATCTTTACAACTCATCAAACGTTGCCAATTCAAGTAGGGCCTATCTTTGGAAAGTATGAATTTAAATAAAAAGCAACCAACTGAACTTAAGGAAAACTGGAACACAACGTAACTTTATAGGAACAGACCTAAGCGGTGGAATACGCACTTCTACATATCGAAAATTCAAGTCCAAGAATCAAAATTGTTTCACAGAGCAATTCTACTCTTCGGGAACTTAGCCTTAAATCTGTCTACTACTGAGTCCAAGTCAAGAGCACTTCCACGGGCACGATGAATACCTAGCATCATCAGACTGTCTAGACGCTCGTCCTTCATAAGTGAGCGCAGATCACTCTTGATGAGGCGCATAGAGCTGAAGCTGCGTTCACATTCGGCTGAAGAGACTGGCAAAGTGCATGCGATGGATACAAGCCGGTGCAGCTCAAAGAAAGCTTCATTTAGCTTTTCCAAGTGTGCCTCTAGTTGCAGAAGTGTGCTTGGGCGGTGTTTTTCTTCTTTTCTTGAGAGCATATATTTAAATGTGGCAATTTCACTGCGTAGTGCACCAATTTCAGACTGAAAAAGCTCAGCAAAATTGACAAGAGTTGTTGGGTCCAAGTAGCTTTTCGACTTGGGGGCCAATGCTTCTTATAACAGATTATTATTTACCATGAAATTGATGTGTCGATGAGTTGTTTTGGGATGAGCTTCCTGAATTCTGATAACAGTCCTTTTAGAAATTTCTATTTCCGCCAAAACTTAAAAAATTCGCTCCGACAAAAAAAATTCAAGCATAATTTATCTTCCGACGGAGGGGCTAGCCTCCTCCGACGGGGGGGCTGTAGCCCCCCCTGCCCCCCCTCTGGCGCCACCACTGCCAGATAGCGATTTGTTTTGAGAAATACCCAAAAGGTTGCCAAGTTCCATGTCGAAATATTGTTTAGAACAATACAAAATATTATCTTCAAGTTTTATATGCTCATTGGAAATGCTCCTTTAACATGGAATAATAATTGCGTGTCATGTTATCCTACCCTACCGGCCTATGAGCATTGACAAAGTTACATTCTGCCTTGAATCAAATGTGCAAATCAAATTACGTTAAACTTTGGTATGCAGGTAATAGGAAGCTGTAAAAAATCCTGCAAGACCTTTAAGGCACAATTTATTCTCCATGATATTGTTGAGGCAAAGTCATAGGTCTGGCTGGAAGCATAGGCCATCAACATGAATTTAATTAGATTCTAGAGCAACCAAATCGATCTTGACATTTTGTCTCCATGCTTATCATTGCAATCTTTTAATTTATTTCAATTATTCGCTATATTACAATGCCATCAGATGCAGGATAATTTGGAGCAACAATGATCGGATGTCACTTTGAAGTGTCAGCGGTCGTGTATGTCTTTGAAGTGTCAGCGGAAACATTTTAGCTTCCTTGATTTCTTTCTTCTATCTGTCCCGGAAATTGAATGATTTCATATTATGAAGAAGGGTTCGTGTATTTTGTACCATGGGTACCAGAGTCTCATAAATCCGTGAGTAAACTATTGTAGACAACTGCAATGGCAATGACTAATTTCCAACTTTATTTCTTAGACTTAATAATGGAGACTCTGTTACCCAGGGGGTAACCTAGTTCTGGCAATACACCAATTCGACTTACGACCTCGTTTTGGAAATTTCTCCAAACTTGATTATACGACTTTTTTAAGCTCAGATTTGGTTTTATCGTCATAATTTTAGGCGGGATACCATTTTTCATATGGTTTGAGCTTGTATTTTAGATTTTACGGAGAAATGAAGTTTGAGAACTTGTAAGGGATTTGACCGCAAAAATCATTTAGGGTAGAAACTTTACCCCCCTAGTTGCCAATCACGGTCAAATCCCTTATATAATTTTCATCTTTATGTCGTCATAAAATCAATATCGTGAGCAATATCATAATGAAAACTTACAAGTAGACTAAAATCATTGCTGTCAATCCGAATCTGAGGTCAAAAATTTTGTACAAAAGAATTCGAAGAATTTTTCAAAATGAGGCCGTAAGTCGAATTGGTGTATGAGGAGACATACATTTATAAACTGTAGAAAATTTGCACTTTCGTCTTTGGCATGGCCTCTCAATGCAATGTACTCTCTTTCCGAAGTTTTTTGCCACATCAAAAAAAATTTTCATCACTGATTTATTCTTCTCTTTGTCAGCACTCTCTTGAATAAGATCTTCTTTCAATTGTTGATTCAATTGAAAATCAATAAGAATTGTTCAAAGAACATCCATAGCGACAATAGAATCAGTTTTCTTGTACTCTTCACCAGGAGCTGCTTGGACTCGTAGGCAATGTCATGATCTTCATTGGAGATAACTGTAACCTGCGTGCAGACTTTACAATTAGAGGATTTTCCTCTATTGCAGGCAACTGCAGCTTCCTGTAAATAAAGTGCTAGAAAAACAATTTCAAAACATTTTCAATAAAGCCTTCTTGTTATGAGGAATCCCACTCAGAACGGCATACGCGGTTCCCATTAAAATGAAAGGATTTCCAAAGATTTCCTATTAAGCAAATTTGAATAGATTTTCAAGAAAAACTAAATAAGCCTTGCTTCTAGTGGTTTACTGTTACCATAGACTATGCAGCCTGATTCTCTCTGCTGAAACTTGTGTCTCCCAAGGATTTTTATGAAAGCCTGGATTCAGAAGGAGGTGGCGGGAGGCATGTACAACTATCCTATTTTTGAAGATCATTTCATTTTTCATTAACAAAAGTCAACTCCATGGATCAAAGAACTTTACACTAGAGGATCCCCAAGACTCCCTATCGCTTTTTTGTACAACTTCCTTTCATTAAGTTCTGGATTTGACCCTGTATTAAGAAATCTAAAGTTGATAAAGTTTGTTTTACATGTTTACATTGCTATAGTGGCTGCATTTATTGTATTCATAT